GGCTTACAAGCTCCAAAAAGGACAAAAGCACCATAAATACTTGCACACTTTGTTCCTGAGTGCATGACTTGGAAATAATACAAATTTTACGACACTTTATCATGCTCACTTTGTGTCGTTTTTGGAGCTTGACGCTGTCTGTTCCTGTTTGTTGATGAAGAGCAGTGTGAACAATTCTCCTGATGTTGTCTTTTGGGTTGCACGGAAGAATGAAAGTCGCAGGGGTTTGTGTGATGAGTGGGTGAACCGTCTCTTAATATACACCATGCGTGACTAGAGAGCTGAACGTGAACGGTAGCTTTCCAGAGGCAAATTCACAGGAATGACACTCTGGTTTTGGCCAACAATAGTGTGCTTGTTTATTGAGTGTCTGTGGTTGACTTGATTCGCTCTGTTTGTTCTGTCTCTCGAGTGGGTGGAGAATTGTGGGAATGTTTTGCAGTTGTGCAATATTACTGACTAATGTGAATTTCCCTGGTTTCCAGCTCGGACTATGATGACGACGAGGGAAGCAAATTGTTCAGGTTAGTCATGACGTGTGACCCGGGTTTGGACTGTGCCGAGCTGCCTGTCTTATGACTGTGTTCAACAACATATGCTTCTTCTCGTTTTGGCTTCTCAGGTGTGATGATGATGATGATGATGATGAGGGAGGCGGATCGAATGACAAGGAGAGATTTGCCAGGTATTGACTGATGGAAGTGCGTGAAAAGTACAAATATGATCATCTGATCTTCTGTGAGTTCTCAAGAGTCAGAGTACATGTGCTGCTGTCATTATGGTATTCATAGTGAGGTTTCCAAACACTCTTCCCGTCCGCCTTTGTTTGGCTGAACAGACCCAAACTCATGCATTTGATTCAGCCAACGTTGCTATATCAGCCAATGCTTTGTAAGTGTATTTGAAACAATATTTCTGTCTTCCCCTATTGTTTAATCAGACTGCCAAAGAACATTTTACACTGAATTGAATGCTCAAAAAATGCACTATAACTTTTTATTTGCAAGATGATTACTGAATGCCGCTCCCTGAATTAAGCATGAAATATGAGTTCATGTGAGGAAAAAAGTAGCTTACTGCTGTTTGACACATTTAAGGCAAAACATTGTTTTTTCATGCACTGGTCAGTTTTGAGAGCTATGTTGGTTTTATAACATGACTTTATTCAGACTAGTGGAAGCATGCAAAAATATACATTTCAGTATTTATTTTATTACACTTTTTATTTTGCATTTTGCATTTCAATTACGATGCGTATCTTTAAAGGCTGTGAGTTTCTCCACTTCAGCAGCACTTTACAGTTTTATTCCTATCTATATCTATGTATAGTTTTTACACGGGTTTATTCAAGAGTTAATTTGCAAAAACGGATAACTTTGATTAGGTTAAAAATAGCTAAAAATACAGCTAACTAACACAATAAAATCATGATAGCTTAATAAAAACATGATTTTCTGATGAGTTATCTGTTTTTGCAAATAAACTCTTCATATATATATATATATATAGAGAGAGAGAGAGAGAGAGAAATCCAATTTTTTTCCAAGAATTTTGAACCTGGCTTCATCCAGTTTTCAGATTTCTCTGCTGGAAATTTAAGCAAATTATTGCACATTTAATTCGATGATGCCTCGTTTGTACTTAAAATGCAAAACATATGTACTGTGATTAATCAGGGATTTTTGCCTTGTATGATGATTTTAGCCTAGTCACATGTAGTGTCTTGCTTTAAGTCTCTGATATATTTCAAGCAAAAGAGAAGAACAAACAGATTAATTTTGAACAAAATCTGGCCAAAATGTTGTGGAGGTAGTTTCTGTGGGTTGAGAAAACTCTCCAGCACCAACCTTCTTGGAAAACTTTGCACTTTTTGAACTGCCATTGATGATTGAACTTGGAACAGACAGAAAAGAACCGCTGGACATATTATTTATTGAAAATAGTACTCGGTATACACTGTGTAGTATGCTGTAATACTGGACAGCCAGCAGTCTGTCATTGTCTTACACTTTATTTCAGGTGTTTCTTTTGAGCACTTCTTCTGTCCCTCTCTTCTTTTCTCAGGCCGTTTGAAGAGGCTTGTTCTTTCAGCTCTCATGAGATTGTTCATACACATTTGTTTTGTCATGGAGAGATGAGTGTTGTCTCATTTGACGAGCACATTGATGCAGTCTTTATTTGCTTATTCATCCATCTCTCTCTCTCTCTCGTTTTCTCGTTGTTGCTTTCTCTCGACCTTTTCTCTGCCCCTGCTCTCTTCTCCCCACGATTGCATGCGCCGCCCATCTCTCATGACCTCCTGACCGCAGGGAGAATCACAGCGAGATCGAGCGCAGGCGGAGGAATAAGATGACCGCTTACATCACGGAGCTGTCAGACATGGTGCCCACCTGCAGCGCTCTGGCGCGCAAACCAGACAAGCTCACCATCCTGCGCATGGCTGTGTCGCACATTAAGTCTTTCGGAGGCAGCAGCAGCACCGATGGAGCATGTAAACCCTCCTTTCTCACAGACCAGGTCAGATATGGACTGCATTGATTATAGAAATGTATTTATTCCTCGTTGCACATAAACCAGGGCCCAGATTCATAAAACATTGTCCGGCGTAAAGTTCTTCTTAACTAATGTTATCATCTTATTTTCTTACTTAAAGGGACAGTTCACCCAAAAATAGAAATTCTCAGATTATTTACTGACTCTCAAGATGTTCCAAACATGTATGAGTTTTTTTCTTCTGCTGAACTTAAAAGAAGATGTTTTGAAGGGTATTGGTAACGGTTGTCAGTCGCTATTGTCTTCCATAGTATGAAAAAAAATACCTTGGAAGTCAATTGGAAACAGAAACTGTTTGGTTACCAACATTCTTCCTCTTATGTTCAGTCAATGTGGGCGAACTATCCCTCTAAGAAAATCAGAAGTAAAGTTAAAGATATTTTGTATTCCCAAAAATTTGTAAGAAGGTTATCTTTCTTAAAATTGTTTAATGTTTAGTGGTCAGTCTGCATAAGATCAACATGCTTGTTTCCTTTGCGACTCCTTTTGACGAATTTTGACGTTCTCGCCGGCGGTGGTGTGAACGCACGGTAAGAAATGTATTTCTTAAAGGGGTCATCGGATGCAAAATTCACTTTTACATGGTGTTTGAACATAAATGTGTTTTGGCAGTGTGTGTACACATCCACCCTATAATGATAGAATTCCACTCAGTGTTTTTTTTTATTTTTATTCCCTATAAATAATATCTCAAATAAAACCTTTCTCAAATCAAGCCGTTCTCAGATTCTTGGCTGTGTGATGTCACACAGACAGGCCCCTCCCACAATTGTTGATTGACAGTGGTGTTTTACCTTAGCTCCGCCCTGAGTGAGCTGTGAACAGTGTGTTATTGTTTCACCGCCGGTGCAGGGGAAGACAAGAATGACTCCTAAGCGATTGAAGTGTTCTGTTGTAATAATGAACACAGCAGTCGTCATTTACTCCCGACATCTGAGCCGCTGAAGACACAGTGGATTACGTTTGGTTTTGAAGGGAATGCGTCTCGATCTACCTAAATGTGTCTGTGTTCACTTTAATAATTTGTGGTCCAACTTCAAGCGAGTATGTTTTTTATTTATTTTTTATGTGTCTTTGCAAATCGCCTTTCTTAATAATGTGCTAGTTAGCAAGTTTTGCGGCTAAAGTAAACAGTCTCATGAGTACGGCTCGTCACCCCACGGAAGAGAGGGGTGGGATCAGCAGAGCTCATTAGCATTTAAAGAGACATGCAACGAAACGGCTCGCTGTGAACAGAGCTGTTTTTGACAAGGTAAAAAGGGTGTTTTTTTACACTACCATTGAGAACTTTTAACCAAAGTATGTTATAGACTTTTCGTTAAGACCCTAAAGAATCACATCAACATTTACTCCCGACATCTGAGCCGCTGAAGACGCAGTGGATTACGTTTGTTTTTGAAGGGAATGCGTCTCGATCTACCTAAATGTGTCTGTGTTCACTTTAATAATTTGTGGTCCAACTTCAAGCGAGTATGTTTTTTTATTTATTTTTTATGTGTCTTTGCAAATCGCCTTTCTTAATAATGTGCTAGTTAGCAAGTTTTGCGGCTAAAGTAAACAGTCTCATGAGTACGGCTCGTCACCCCACGGAAGAGAGGGGTGGGATCAGCAGAGCTCATTAGCATTTAAAGAGACATGCAACGAAACGGCTCGCTGTGAAGAGAGCTGTTTTTGACAAGGTAAAAAGGGTGTTTTTTACACTACCATTGAGAACTTTTAACCAAAGTATGTTATAGACTTTTCGTTAAGACCCTAAAGAATCACATCAACTTGTGGAAAATGGGCATCCAATGACCTCTTTAAGAATATATTTGTAAATTTGAAGCAGGTACCTTTTTTTTTTTTTTTTAAATACCAGAACTGAATAATTTTCACGATTTATTTCAGTTAACACTTTCATCTAAAAAATGTCTTAAACATCATCTGGAAATGTGCTCTTATCTCTCTCTCTGTCTCTGTAGGAGCTGAAGCACCTGGTTCTGGAGGCGGCTGATGGCTTTCTGTTCGTAGTGTCGTGTGAAACCGGCCGTGTGGTTTATGTGTCGGACTCGGTCACACCGGTTCTGAACCAGGCTCAGTCGGATTGGCTCGGATCATCGCTGTACGACCAGCTCCATCCAGACGACACAGAGAAACTCCGAGAGCAGCTCTCCACCAGCGAGAACAACAATGCCAGTGAGAAACGACTCTTATCGCTGTCACCCTGCGTGCTGACAGTCTTTTTCTGTTTAACTCCTCTTCCGCTGTTCTGACTGTAGGCCGGATGTTGGACATGAAAACAGGCACGGTGAAGAAAGAGGGTGGGCAGGCCTCTGTGAGGATGAGTATGGGCACACGCCGCTCCTTCATCTGCAGGATGAGGTGAGGAACAGGAAGACCAAACCAACAGACCTTTAATAACTGAACCAAGTCCACCTTCAGCTCGTGCTTCACGTGTCTTTATGCTGTGAAATCTTTACTGATTTTGATCAATTAATGTAAGAGTAACTTTGATATTGTTAGTAACACTTACTGCACTGAAGCAGCTCGGCTTTTCTAGATTCTCCATCAATCATGTTTTAGAGTCTCAAATCTGATCATCAGGATGTTTTGAGGAGCGTTTGTTTCCAGAAGCTTTACTTTCACTGTTCCTCAGCGGAGGAATGATCTTCACAAGCCTCCAGAACATCTCACATCTTCTGAGGAGCCTTTATTTCTTCATCTCTCAATCAGCATTGCATTATATGTTTGGATCATTTTAGTCTCATCTTACTAAGATGTATTATTGGAGATATAAAGTGACGACTGATGTTTATATCTTTTCAAGTCAAGTCTGCTTTATTGTCAATTCTTCCACATGTACAGCACATACACAGATAATTGAAATTGCGTTACTCTCAGACCCTTGGTGCATACAGATAACACTAACAGTAGAACATAGATACAGATAGATACAGATCTTTTTAGATCTCATTGATTTACATTACGAGCATCAGAATTTCATCTTACTTTTTGTCCATGTAAATATCAGCATCTGCACCAAATTGCATATTTCTGCTCAGTTTGGGTCCTTAAATAAAATTTTATAAAAAGCTTTTTTCCTTTCATATTCTCACTATATCAGACTATATGAGCAATATTAGCCTGATGTGTCAACAGGTAACACTCAGATTTTGTCTAAAGGTTCAATAAACTGTTTCAGCTTAATTTTTTTTTCTATAAAACTGCTTAAAATTAAAAGGGAATATGCTGTTTGCATACAAAAAATGTTTTTCAGATAAAGTATTAAAAGTCTTCAATTAGGTTCGCATGTTGTGAAATATTTCACATGCTGCATTATGTGGTTTGTAATGTGTGTGTGTGTGTGTGTCTCTGTGTCCAGATGTGGAGTGTGTCCCGTAGAGCCGGTGTCCATGAACAGACTCAACTTCCTGAGAAGCAGAAACAGGTACGGCAGCTCTCTCTCTGTATATACATATCTCAGTCTTTAAACAGATGCAGATGAAGACCATCTCTCCTGCAGGAATGGACTGGGTCCTCAAAAGGAGGGCGAGCCGCAGTATGCGGTCATGCACTGCACAGGCTTCATCAAATCCTGGCCTCCTGCAGGTAACACCGTCCACAGCACAACACAGAGGAGGTGTCTATTGTTCATATAGACTATAGAATGCAACTGAGACACATACTGTCCCTTTACCTTCTCTCTCAGGAGTGACTCTTTCTGAAGAGGAGGCCGATAATAATCAGGGAAATCGTTTCTGTCTAGTCGCCATTGGAAGGCTACAGGTACTTTCCCCCTTCCATTTTATTTCACTTTCCAGTGATCTAGCTTTGCGTCACATTCAAAGGAATAGTTTGCACAATTCTGTCATCATTTACTCATGTAATCTCATATCTTTCTAAAAGGGCAAGTTCATGTCTGCTCTCTACCTTTAATCGTTTGTAAAAAAACATCGACATTCTACTGAACATCAAGAGAAGACATAAGGGTTTGGAAAGACATTAGGGTGAATAAATGAGAATATAATGTCCACTTTTTAATTAACTGTGATTCTTTAAATATCTGATTTATGGCCAACAACTTAAAGGTGTAATGAAATTGTCACATATGATCATCAGGCTTTTGAGGAAGGTTTATTTGTTTATCTCTATCATCGTGTTGCATTGAATTATGTTTTGATCATTTAAATATCATCTTACTAAGACATTAATGGCAGATATTGAGTGACGACTGATATTTATATATTTTTGCATAAGTATCTGCTATACTCTAATTGCACTAAATTGCTTATTTTTGCTCTTTTTGGCCTCTGAATAAAAATTATCTGGTTTTTCATCAATATTTTCGCTATATATCATACTATATAAGCCTTTAAAGCCTTACAGATCAAATATGATACTCAACTTTTTTCTTTTAGGGGTTCAATAAACTGTTCCAGTTTTCATTCAGTCATTCCAAACCTGTAGGACTTGTGTTCATCTTTGAAACGCAATTGAAGATATTTTTAATGAAGCATGAGAGATTTCTGTCTCTCCATTGAAAGTCCATTCCACCAAAACTGACAATTTGAAAAATTCATGAAGAGATTGTAAAAGTAATCCATATTAATCAAGCTGTATAATCCAAATCTCCTGAAGAGGCATGATGGCTTTATATGGTAAACGGATTGAATTTACGTTTACATATAATTGACATTTACTTAGAATTGACTTTTATTTACATATATAAACGTTGATCAGCGCACATTCACAGAACTCATCAAATATGGTAGACGAAAGCTCACATGTGCTTGTTTGTCACGTGAGAACCAATGAGGTTTGTTCTTGTGTGTGTGTGTGTGTGTATAAATCAGATCTGTTCATCATATAAAGTGAGTGTGTCTCCTCGGAAAGCCTGGATTAAACCTCTCAATCCATATGGATCACTTTACATTGTTGTTATGAACTTTATGAATCATAAAATTTTGGTTGTGTAGACTTTTATGGCGGAAGAGAAATCTCTCATGCGAGTTTCAGAAATGAACAGCAGTCATACAGGAATGGAACAGCATGTTAAGTGAGTAATTGATGACAGAATTTTCATTTTTGGGTGAACTGTCTCTTTAAGATCCTCTGTTGTCATGCAGGTCACAGGTTGCCCGAACGACACAAACATAAATAACATCAGCGTTCCAGTGGAATTTATTTCCCGCCACAACTGTCAGGGTCTCTACACCTTTGTGGATCACCGCTGTCAGGCGACGATTGGCTACCAGCCTCAGGTAGGCCTCAAACACCCGAGTCAGGCTGGATCTCAGGCTAAAGGAGGTCATTTCTGAAGAGCAGGCTGTTTTATGTTGGCTCTGCATTGGCTGATTATAGCTGATGAGTTCCACTGTCTTGTATAGTGATGCACCAACATTTTGGTTTCAGCCTGCATTATATGAGTCGCTTTGGAATATAAGTCGCAGCAGGTTTCAGATGATAAAAAGCATCGATCTATATTAGGGCTGCCCCCTAATAGTCGACCAACCGTTAGTCAACCAGAAGAGGCTTGGTCGACCAAAATGTTATTAGTCGCAGAAAAAAGAAAAATTCCACACGCAGTCCGAGATGGACAGATCGTTAACGGCTGGTCTTTGTGGTAATACAGTACTTGCGCAGGACATCCAAACGCTCGCCTATCATTCATCGACCTCAAATATGGCTTATCATCTGAAATATGTAAGTATTAGCAACTCTACAGGGGCCGCTCAATCTGATGTTATCCTAGAGAAATGCTCAACAGTAGCGTGCAAACTGCAAATCTTAAAATACGCCCTCATTTCTGGTCATACAGATAAAAGTAATACATCTTTCGAATCTGTAAAGACTCAGCGTTTATTTGTGTGCTCTCACAATAACAACAAAACATTGCGCTTTTGTGAAATAATGAAAGCGCTTTCTGCCGTCTCGGTCTCTGTGAACTCGAGCGCGAAACTCTGAAGCTCCGTCCGTGTATAGCCTGCTTGCCTTACAAATATGAAAACATAGACCGAGCAAAACGTCTACTATCAAATGAACCAATTCAAATGGAAAACAGATATTCTCAGATTATGTAATCCGTATGAAACATGCATACAGGCACGAGTCAGTGTCGCCGACTTCACCTCTTAAACCGAAAACAAAGAAAGCACTAGTTTATCAATACATTATTAAAATGTTAATGCAGCCCCCTTACAGTTTTTCACTGACACATTCATAATTATTACTTCTGCCGGTGTGCTGTTGCAAGCGTTATGCATGTGCTCTAGCGCCTATTAGACTATATAGGCAATTAAAGGCTCATTATAATGATTTCAATGGTTTATTAATAAATGTGCGATTAGTCGACTTATGCTTAAAATAAACGACTACTACTCGACCAGGAGAATCCTTAGTCGAGGGCAGGCCTAATCTATATATATCTCTATTATAGATCAGTGTAAAATAATGCGACTTAAGTTTCAGAAAATATGTTACAAGATTTATAGGCTATAGGATAAAGACTGGTGTCTTGCATTATTACAGAAAAACGTCTTGTGATTACAGTACTGAGCCACTGCAGTGAAGCAGCTCTAATGTGCTATTAATTTAAAGATGAAATACCATAGAGCAAAAAAATTAACAGTGTAACAAAAGCTTGTAAAATAAATTTTAATGGGCATAATTTAGTGAGAATATAACTGAAGGAAATATCTATTTGCTAAATAAACTAAGCCAACTAACAATTATACATATTTTTTGGTTTCAGTACCCAGTATTTTTAATTTTTTTATTCCACATGCATGAAAATACAGGTTTAGGTGCATCCCTATTTATAGTGCTCTTACCATGCAGTAATTACAGTAAGTTTTGTTACTTTTGATGTAAAACACCATCTGATCGTTCAAAGTCTATACATTTTATTACAAAATACAAACAATAATTGTGATTTTGATGCTGTTTAATGTGAGATCGCTGTAGCTTCAGTTCAAATGGCACGTGAACTGATCATCTGTTCCTCTTTACTACTAGTTATAGCTCAAAATAAACATGATTGAACTTCAGAAGGTGTTGAAATAAACAATAACTAGAGGAGCATTTTGATAAGTACGTGCACTGCATTGCATATCATTATATTTTACTTAACCTGTAGTCCTCATTATTTAATGTATGTTTAAATAAATCATGAGATCATGAAAAAAAAGTTGTTATTACAGTCACCGTTTAAATGTTTATTTGAAAATTTTCAATGATTAAAATTGAAACGTTTATACATAATTTGAGTACTGATTATTAAATAAATTTGATTAGTTAATTGATCATTAAAAAAAGTAAATTTTTGGTGAAATTTTTCTCAGTTAAATTAAAACTTTACTTTTTATTCATTTGGGTGCATCACTAGTGTTGCAGTGTTTTCCATCTTTTGTGTTGTTGTGTGACACAGGAGTTACTGGGGAAGAACGTTCTGGAGTTTGCACATCCAGAAGACCAGGGCTTACTGCGAGACAGCCTTCAGCAGGTGTGTGTGTGTGTGTGTGTGTGTGTGTGCATTTACATGACACCGTTACCAAAGTTATTGTAAGAAAAATGTATATCATTTTATGTAGTGCCCATGACTAGAAATAGTCATTTTGGGGCTTTTTGCCTTTATAAAATGACAGCAATAACAATATTACACCAATGTTTAATACATATTTAAATGTATCAATCATCACAATATGGTGGTTACCAGGTAAATTGACACATTAACATATAATAAGCTATATGATCATGCCATGGCGGACTGCCCATCTGGAGCACCGGGAGTTTTCCCAGTGGGCCACTGTGTGCAGCCAGTTGTGTAAATATAAAGAATGAATTATAGTAAATGTATGTAGCCTATATCTGTCCATCGGCCCATACGTATGGCCCGCGCAGCCCACTGAAGTCAAACATTCTAATTAATTAATTTAGCACGCTCTGGCTTAGTGCAACGGCTCAAAAGCGCTCGTCAATGTCAAAATGTTTTAGCCAATCAAATCGTAGAAGGCGGTATTTACTGTTCACAAAAGCTGAGCTGAGGTAAGATGTTTATATGTTCAATATTTGCCAACGGTTTACAAAAAATGTCAAACAGACATTCATTTTCAGGGATGCAAACTACTACTGGCCTTATCAAATTTCTTAGATTTTAATGCCATTTACATTATTTGCCACATTAACGTAGCCGTTTTCAGCAGACATAAGATAACAGTGAATGTTTGTATGTCGTTACATTTCTTCCGTAATTTCACGCGTCTAAGAAAATGTCAAAAAACTGTAAAAATATCATTCTCAAACTTACTCTAGAAGATTGTAAATCCTGAAGACTTTCGCTTTCAAGTGCCGTGATTAGGAAAGTTCTATTTTTCTATTAACGATATTTTAATGTAAATGTTTTAATGGTTTAATGTTAAACTGTAATGTATTTCTGTGATGCGCAGCTGTATTTTCAGCATCATTCCTCCAGTCTTCAGTGTCACATGATCTTCAGAAATCAGTATAATATGCTGATCTGCTGCTCAATTATTTTCAATTATTATTTGTCCTCAGTTATTCATAATGGTTCTTCTTATTATTAATACTTAAAAAACTGTTTTTGTTTCTTAATATTTTTGTGGAAACTGACACTTTAACTTTTTCGGGATTATTTGTTGAATACAAAGTTAAAGAACAGCATATATAAATTTGTAAATAATATTTGTACACATCTCTTTTACATAGAGGGACAGTTTAATATCACTCAAGTTAAATGCCTACCATAATATCAGTAAAAGTACAAGAGAATGTGAAAAGAGATGTGTAAAAATATTATTTACAAATTGCCATATACACCAGGAAAGACCAATTATAATGTAAACAAGTATTGATGGTCATGCATTAATGTTAATGATAATAATTTAAAAAAGCATTTTTATTTCTCTGTTGTGTTACATTTGTATGTTAGTAAGTGGTGTTAAAAATAGCTCTAATGAGCTGGTGGGTTTATGGTGGGCTGCTCTATGTCCAAAAAGTCCAGGGCCACTTTTTAGCCCCAGTCCACCCTGTGATTTGATCAGAATGTAGATCTGGTCCTGTTGTTTTCATAACAGTGTGATGTGTTAATGACCTCTGACCCCTGATGCAGGTGGTTAAACTGCGAGGTCAGGTGCTCTCGGTGATGTTCCGGTTCCGCTCTAAATCCCACGAGTGGATCTGGATGAGAACCAGCTCGTTCACCTTCCAGAACCCTTTCTCTGAAGAGATCGAGTACATCATCTGCACCAACGCCAATGTCAAGTTAGTACTGAAATGCATCACAAGATCCCAAACTGACTTCACAGCAAAAGGTGTTTGCTTTGATATTTTGTTATCTGATGCAAGTTAATGCTGCTTACATTGCAACTTCAGTATTGAAAGACTTTTTGGGGTCACTGTTTAATACTCTCAGGTTGTTTAGGCTTCAGTGTTGTCTAATCCAGTATGACTTTATGCAGTGTATCATATGCTTTTATGATCAAAGGTTAATTCCTGTGGAGGTAATCAGATGTAATTCAGTTTGTTTGAAGGCGTGTGTGGATGTCACGAAAATGTGTGGGATTTATTTCACCCCAAAATATTAATAAAAAGAGGAAATTATATAAAGAAGAAGAATATATAAGTTAAGAAGCTGATAATTGTATTGTGACATTGTGAAATATGACATTTCATGACAATTTAGCATATCTGACTCCTCCCTGATTCTCTTTAGTGTAATGCAGATTTCATTTCCATTTGGGTCACTAAGATTTTTTGCTTGAAAGAAGTCTCTTCTGCTCATCAAAGTTGCATTTATTTGATCAAAAATACAGTAAAAACCGTAAGATTGTGAAATATTATTACAATTTACAACAGCTGTTTTCTGTGTGAATATCTGTTAAACTGTAGTTGATTTCTGTGATCAAAGCTGATTTTTCACATGTCACGTGATCTTCAGAAATCATTCTAATATGCTGATTTCTGATTATTATCAATATTGAAAACAGTTATTTTTTTGGAAACTGTGATGCATTTTATTTTTCAGCATTCTTTGATAAATAGAATGTTCAAAAGAACAGCATTTATTTGAAATGGAAATTTCAAATAAATCCCAAACTTTTGTTTGTGTGAAGTCATCGCATGACAGTAATGTGAATCATCACTGAGAATTACGTACACACTTAAAATAAACGTCTGGACACATTATGATGATGAGCCTTTAAGTAAAATGTGCTGAATTGTCCTGAAAATGCAAAATTGTCACAATTCAAAATATCCAAAACATTTTATTTTTCAGCATTCTTTGATAAATAGAATGTTCAAAAGAACAGCATTTATTTTAAATGGAAATTTCAAATAAATTCCAAACTTTTGTTTGTGTGAAGTCATCGCATGACAGTAATGTGAATCATCACTGAGAATTACGTACACACTTAAAATAAACGTCTGGACACATTATGATGATGAGCCTTTAAGTAAAATGTGCTGAATTGTCCTGAAAATGCAAAATTGTCACAATTCAAAATATCCAAATGCCCCCCAAAATTTGCATATTTTTTTATGCAAACATAATATCATGTTTGTTTCTTTTTTATTTTTGGGGTCAGTTTAGAGTGTTGAGCCGTGTGTGTCTGAGAGGGTGAGCGTGTTAATTCAGCTCGGCTCTCAGTTTAATCTGAACGCTTTCTCTCCACCAATCCCTCTGGTTTGCGTGACAGTAGAGGGCAGAATCAGGACTCCCTGTCCCCCCTCTCTTCCCCGGGGGATTCACTGCCCCCTTCACTGGGGCAGAGCAGTCCTAACTGCCCCTCCAGATTTTTGGGGTCAGTTTAGAGTGTTGAGCCGTGTGTCTGAGAGGGTGAGCGTGTTAATTCAGCTCGGCTCTCAGTTTAATCTGAACGCTTTCTCTCCACCAATCCCTCTGGTTTGCGTGACAGTAGAGGGCAGAATCAGGACTCCCTGTCCCCCCTCTCTTCCCCGGGGGATTCACTGCCCCCTTCACTGGGGCAGAGCAGTCCTAACTGCCCCTCCACCCCCAGCCCAGGGCAGGTCACAGCCAGGTGAGAGCAGACCAATGGTGCACTGGGTCTTTCTTTCTCCTCTGCGCTCTCGGGTGAGCCTCTTTCCGTCCCGTCTGCTGCTGTCGGTCGGTGGTGGGTTAACAGCATGCTCTCTTCCTGTAGGTAGCTGTAAGCTGAGATTGCTGTAGGTTGGCGGTGGTGGGTCTGACGGTCACGACTGTAGGACCGTGCTCACATCAGTGTGGTTTGCTCTTCTGCAGGCAGATGCAGCAGCAGCAGGCCGAGTTAGACGAAGGGATGGGACGAGACGCAGCGTTTGAAACCAGTCAGGTCACTCTCCCTCAGGTAAACACACCTGAACTCACACACTTCCTCTCTACACCAGTACTGTTAATGTCAATATCAAATGTATTTATATAGCACTATTAAAACAACACGTGTCAATATAAAAATAAAATAAACAAAGAGAACATCACCTAAAACGACTATAGTAATGCTAAAAAATATGAGCAAGAAAAATACGCCATGGCAAACAAATATGTCTTTAGATGTACTTTAAAAACCTGTACAGAGTCATCATGTAAAGGTAAGCTATTCCACAGACTTGGCTCACTGCCGCAAACACGCGGTCTCCTTTCTGGCTTAAAGGGTTAGTTCACCCAAAAATGAAAATTAGCTTATTTACTCACCCTCGAGCTATCCTAGGTGTATATGACTTTCTTCTTTCAGGCGAATCCAATCTGAGTTATATTAAAAATTGTTCTGGCTCTTCCAAGCTCTATCATTGCAGTGGGTGGGTGTTTCTGTTCAACAGTCCAAGAGACGTGAAATAAAGCGCGTGCATCCGTAATGAAACGTGCCTCACATGACTCCGGGGGGTGAATAAAATTATAAATTTTAAGTAAATTCTAAGTTGTTGATCTCAGTGTTCTTCCACTCTCATACTCAATTAGCAACTCTGATAGATAGTTCAGTGCAAGGCCATGTTAAGACTTACACTAATAAACAAAGCTTCAAAACAATCCTCTACTGTACCGGAAGCCAGTGTAGAGAAACCAAAGACAGAGTAATATGTACACGCTTTTTAATATTGAATAACAGCCTTGAGACAGCATTTTGGACCTTCTGCAACTGTAGGATAGATGCTTGACTAATACTCTTGTATAACGAATTACAGTAATCAAGTCTTGATAATATTAGAGCATGGATTGGAATTTCAAGACTCTTGAATGTCAGACTTGATTTCATCTTGGCCAAATTTCTACCACATGATTGATCTCGGTGTTCAACTTCAGGGGGCTATCAATATAAACACGCATGTTTTTAATTAGCATGTTCTTTGACATACAGTGACAATGGGCCAAAATGTAACTCTTGCTTGCTGCTTGCTACACCCCTGGCTCAGTAGTGCTCAAACGAAAACATCAAACCGTGTGCTGTTTCAATGCACAGGGTTAATTGGCAGATTGAAAAATAGATCTAAATAAAATAATAGCAGTGAAAAGTAACAGCATTGAATGAACTCAAAACAATGAATTAACCCTTCTGAGCTTTTCGAAAAAAATATATTTTTTGAAAACCCTGGTTGTTTGCTAACTTTTAAACAGGGCCAATAATACACCTGCTGCAATTGACCAACTAAAACCTGGTCTGAAGTCAATGGTGCAGTAGTTTTTTGTTATTTAAAGAGCGCGCTAGTAATATGTGCCTGTAGGTGGGTGCACAACGTGCATACACTCTGCTTATTACACACACACAGGGACGTGCAGCAGCACACAAACATGCCAAATATAAAAAATTAAAGGATTACAATGTAAAAGATTATTATTGTGTGCGCTTTAACCTTGTGCACGAGCAGCTCCGTTTCCACTCTGGAGACGCGTTCTGTCTGTGCGCTTGCAAATTCCGCCGTGTAAATAGCGACTCCGCCATGGCTTGAGCGCAACTGGCTCTTAAAGGGAATGGGAGATGAGACTCTGATTGGTTTATTGCAGGTTATGCCCAAAACACGCCCATTACTCATTAAGAGGTTAGGGACAACCCTTTTAGTCCATGCGCCAGGTGCGCCGACCTTTTTTCCGTCATTAAACTAGCAAAAGTGTATTCGGATACGGCCTAAGTGTGCCATGCGCTTTAGACCATGCACTTAGATCATTAAAACAGTTTTACTAGCAGCTTGCACCAGCGTAAAATAGCACTGTGAGGTTTTACTAAAAGATGCGCAGTGATGAATTGGCGCTGAAAAGGCGTGGACAGTTATTTTTGCGCCTGATCTTATTGAATATGCATTTCTAGGAGTTTCCCTTTCAGACGCAAAATTTATGGGAGGAGTGTATTCAAATTAATCACGCAACGCGTTTTACTAACCTTTACGCTCGTCAAATTACTGGCATTTGCGCCATTATTAACGCCCCAAAAAAGCATGTCTTAAACTATTGTGCGCTTGAAGTTGCTGCAGTTATTGTTGCAGAGAACAGAGAGCGCGTGGTAGAAGGGAGAGGATTTTTTCCACATATATTAATTTATTTAGAAGGCAAGAACACATTGTCCAAACATATCGTTTGCCAAGCCATGTTATTTTTAATTTGCTTCAGGAAATAAAAGATGACTTGGAACCTAGGAGTCACGCAATACCAGCTCTATCAAAACTTCTTGCAAAACTTCATTTTTTGGCCTTCAGTTCTTTTCAACGTACTGTGGCTTCTTTATTTCTTTATTCTTTATTTGCGACTGCGCTAATTTGCGCTGTGCTTGGTATATCGCGTTGGTCGATATGTAAATGAGATGTTGCGTCTGTGTTCTTTAATTTGAAAAGGGAAATTTCCCCTCCCGTCGGCACTGTTTTGGAATTGCGCTCTCATGCTAATTTGCCCCGTTTGGTAAAACTGGCCCTAAGAGTGTAAATTTAGTTGTTTAATGAGATGTTATAACACTGGCTTCCCCGAAATGCTCATTTTGGTTGTTTAGATCTTATTTACCCCTCTTACACTGCTAAATAATTAGCTGTTGTGAGTCATTTTAGATCCAGAACAGTGAAAGTGTAAAAATTATTATTATTATTTTTTATTTTTATGAATAGTTATAGCCACCTGAAGAAGTCGCAATAGCATTGTGCACTTATTTTGGTCATTTAGATCTTATTTACGTGTACGTTGAATATTTCTCAATTTCAACCTTGTAAGCAAATATTCAACATTTAAAAATCTACACTCTTAGTATAAAAAGAAGAAAATATGAGAGTTTATGTATTTGAAAATGAGAAAAAATAACATGACTTAACAAATAAAATCGGTCAAAAATGAGCGAGGAGTTAACTGATTGCAAAATGTTAATTTGTGATGTGAAGTGTTTCTGTTGTCTCACTTTAATAACAAAACTAGGGATTCACGATATATCGGCCACCATATCGGTATCGGCCGATAAATGCTCTTTCTTCAGCACAAATGAACTTTATTGAGATTGAAGTTGAAATGAAGAACAACAACACAATGTCTGTCTCATCTGTGTTTGTCTCAGGTTCCGCTGCAGACTGTGAGTGTTGTCAGTCCTGATCACAGTAAGACTCCCTATTATCAAAGTATTTTTTTTCCATATTATCATATTTTGATATTTATCACAATATTTATTAATAGAATTAATGGGCAATGAATGTTTGTTAGACATTCAGAATAAATGTAAACGTATTTGTTTACTAGTAAACTTCACATAGTAAGCTACCTTCTTATTTAGTGCCTCTTGAAATAGGTTTTATTTTATTTTTATTTATTTGTGAATTCTGTTAATACAAATAATACAATTCTTCATTCAATTTAATGCAAATTATTTATTACAATTTATCTTAAGAAATGTTTTCTAATGAAATAAAACGTTACAAATGTAATTTTTTTTTAAATGCAGTGAAATGAAAATTTTAAATACAATTAATAATTTACAGCAAATTGCATTTTAATTTATTACATTTGTATTTTTTGTCAAATAAGGTGCTACACAGAACCTGTATAAACAATGTATAAATTAGAGCATGGATGAAAAAATATCCTGGTTGCATTGTATTTTTATAATAATAATAATGTTTGATATGTATAAAACCAGTGTTTTTTTTACACTGTGTTATTGTTATTAACATTATCATTATTGAGAAGTACTTTTTGCTGTACAGTAGAACTATTTTTCTGTCATACTTTCTCAAGTTTGTAGTTAAACAGACCTTTTATTTTTGGCAGTTTGTTGTAAAGACCTTTAAATTTCAGCTTGTATTTGACAATAGCTTTTCTCATATAAAACTGAGATGTGTGTGTAGTAGATGAAACCGTGCTGCTCATTCATGCAGACACAAACGCACTAGATTTTGCTGTACAGTAGAACTATTTTTCTGTCATACTTTCTCAAGTTTGTAGTTAAACAGACCTTTTATTTTTGGCAGTTTGTTGTAAAGACCTTTAAATTTCAGCTTGTATTTGACAATAGCTTTTCTCATATAAAACTGAGATGTGTGTGAAGTGTGTAGTAGATGAAACCGTGCTGCTCATTCATGCAGACACAAACGCACTAGATCATCGGATAAATGTCAAAAATTACTCAAACGTTTATTGTTGATATGATTGATTTTTTTTCAATAGTGATCTATCGCCTAATTCACAGTCACAGCGATTGACAGGTGTCCGTCTCTCTCAGACTCTAAGGCCATGTCCTCCAGCGGACAGCAGGTTTATCCACCAGCAGCGTCTTTCCCCAGCTCTGCTCGTCCCAGCGAGCCCTTCAGGTACCACACACACACACACACACACACACACTCTCGCTCACACACACACACACGCACGCAAGCTCACACGCACGCACGCTCACACACACACGCACGCACTCTCGCTCACACACACGCACGCACGCTCGCTCACACACACGCACGCACGCTCGCTCGCTCACACACACGCACGCACGCTCACACACACACACGCACGTGCACGCACGCTCACACACACGCAAGCTCACACGCACGCACGCTCACACACACGCACGCACTCTCGCTCACACACACACACGCACGCACACTCTCGCTCACGCACACACGCTCACACACACACACACGCACGCTCACACACACACACACACGCACAAGCTCACATGTAAACTTATGACTTCAGCTGTATGCTGTTTTGGCGTGACCTCACTCCCGGCTGTGGTCTGGTCTCAGGTCAGCTGGAATGGCTCAGCAGATGGTTCCTCACTCAGTGGGTCAGATGCTGGTGCAGATGTCCCTTCAGAACACACCGTCTGGAGTCAGCGGCAGCAACAACAGCCCTATTCAGGCCCAGATGCGTCCCACCGCGCCTCCTGGAGTCTGGTCTGCTGCACAACTGCCCTTCAACACACAGGTAGACATTTAAAGTATGGAGGGAGAGTGCTTACACCTGACCAACAGTCAGACTTAGTTATTATTTATTTATGATTATTATCACACTACTGTTCAAAGGTTTGGGGTCTGTAAGCAGTGTTAATAAAACATTTTTTCACCGACGATAACGAACTAAAACTCTTTTTGAATGTCAAAAACTATGACGTAAATCTATTGACATTTTCGTCAACGAATAAAAACGAGACGAAAATGTTAGGGAGGGACGATTTGGGAAGAGATTCATTCAGAAGGAATCTGCTGCGTGGTTCGGAGGTTAGATGCGTACATATGAACCGGCGGGACATAAGCTAACATACACTTGCTGTACATCGCATAAAACATTCAAAAATGTCAATATGTGGGAGTAAGAGAAGAGCAGACACATGGATAAATCTGACGACGCAAGAGAGAACTCAATTAGGTTCGGTTTTCTGAGCGCAGACACTGAAGCACACACACAGAAAGCGCCTCTCACAGGCGCATGAACGGAGAATTACACCCAAAATGATGTTGAATTGTCCGTTTTGACGAGTATTCACGTAAACACAGTTGATTACGTCTTAAGTGAAGGTAAACAGTAGGGAGAACGTGTATCAGTACATTGCAACCATTGCAGCGGCGCATTCGGGTTTAAAGGGACAGCAGCCTAATTTAGTTGCTATTGTCCGAGTCATTGATGTTAATCAAGCAACAACAGAAAGACAGAAAAGCACGCACTGCTCTTGACTGTATCACTTTAGTGGCCCTAAAGATTAATCTAAATTTATTTATAGAAATAAATATATCTGCTTGAAAGAATGAAGAATATGGTAAACAAGTTGCTATAAAGAATGCATAATTAGCCGATATAGCCATTGGTATTTCATTAATATGAAGACCATGTTCTTGTTCGTTATGAGAAGCGGTTTTATTTAATTTTAACATAAAGGCATGTTTTGTCACCGCAGTTAAATCAGTGTCTTATCATGATAAAACCTTAATATCAAACCTATATAATGAGTTTGGAAATTTTAGAGAAATGCATAAATGCACTGCAACTAAACCCATTAGATTTTAGACGACTAAATTTACTGTAGATTTATTTATGTAACATATAACATGTTTAGTTATGATATTTAGTCGACTAAAACTAAAAACAATTCAGGTGACTAAAATATGACTAAAACTAAATGGCATTTTAGTCAAAAGACTGACTAAAACTAAATCAAAATGAACACTGTCTGTAAGGCGGATGATACACTGGGCAACTTTGGGCAATGTTGCCATCAATGGGCAACCAGCTGAGACACAGTGCCCATGACCTTGAAAACATCCAGATATAAACGTGTTACTCATTCTAAATTGAAAAGTGCCCAAGCAACATTGTTCAAAAAGAGTTGCCCTGTGTATCATCAGCCTAAGATTGTTTAATGTTTTTGAAAGAAGTCTCTTCTGCTCACAAAGGCTGCATTTTTTAAAAAATAAAAAATAATATTGTGAAATATCATTGCAATTTAAGATAAGTGTTTTCTATTTATATATGTTTGAAATGTAAATTATTCATGCGAAATAGTTCGATTTACTAATTTACTGAAATGGAAATGTTTTGTAATGTCACAAATGTTTTTTTTTAAATAAAAAATAATATTGTGAAATATCATTGCAATTTAAGATAAGTGTTTTCTATTTATATATGTTTGAAATGTAAATTATTCATGCGAAATAGTTCGATTTACTAATTTACTGAAATGGAAATGTTTTGTAATGTCACAAATGTATTTAATGTCGTGTTTGATCAATTGAATGTGTCCTTGCTGAATAAAAGCTTTTTTCTTTGTTTCTTGAGCAGAAAATCAGCATTATGAAGATCATGTGACACTGAAGACTGGAGGAATGATGCTGAAAATACAGCTGCGCATCACAGAAATACATTACAGTTTAACAGATACTCGCATAGAAAACAGCTGTTTTAAATTGGAATAATATTTCACAATATTACTGTTTTTACTGTATTTATCAAATAAATGCAGCCTTGCTGAGCATAAAACAAACGTCTTCAAAATCATAACATGTTGATTATTCCATAATTTTGTAATGTGTATAACTGATTCTTTCACTGTAAAGAATGTGATTTTTTGTTGTACGAACTCTCTTTGTCCAGCAGATGGCAGGTCAAGTTGGAAAGAGTCAGTCAGCTCAGTTTAACATGAGAAGTTTCAGCTCCGCCCCTTCTTCCTCCACTTCCTCTTCCTTTGGCCAGATGGGCGGGGCTTCTGCTTCAATGGCCAACACTTCAAATTACCAACAAATAAGCAGTCACAACAACCCTTCAACTAATGGATTCGGTAAATATTTTAAAGAATGTTTTTAATAGTGAACCGTGTTTCCTGTTCCAGCGCTCAGTTTTGCTCTTGCTCTTTCGTTCAGGCGATGTTAATCAGATGGGAGTGCAGTTCAGCTCCAGGCCAGCAGAGGGAGTGTCAGGCTGGCAGCAGTGGCAAACTCAGCCACACACTCAAGGCACTGCAGACGCACACCAGCAGCCTCAAAACATCCAGCCAGAGATGTTTCAGGTGAGTGGAGCCCACACAACCAATCATGTTTGTCTTTGAAAGGAGTAGCTCACCCAAAAATTAACATTTGCCAAGAATGTGCTCTCCCTCAGGCCATCCGAGATCAGGATGAGTTTGTTTCTTCATCAGATTTGGAGAAATGTCTCCGCAATGGATGCTCTGCAGTGAATGGGTGCCATCAGAATGAGAGTCCAAACAGCTGATAAAAACATCACAATAATCCACAGCACTCCAGTCCATCAGTTCACATCTGGAGAAGACTAAAGCTGAAACACATCCAGCATTAAGACGCTTTTAACTAACATACATAGTCCATAATCCATAATAACTCTTCCTGCAGTGAGTCAGTGTTCTGGTGTGAATCAGGAGAGAAATCTGCACAGATCAAGCAGCGTTTAAACAGCTCTAAACTAATATGTGGCTGGATTTTGATGTGAGAGACAACAGCAGATGCACTTTTTCACTGGAGGAAGAGGTATTATGGACTCGTATGTTAGTTAAAAGCGTCTTAATGCTGGATGTGTTTCAGCTTTAGTCTTCTCCAGATGTGAACTGATGGACTGGAGTGCTGTGGATTATTGTGATGTTTTTATCAGCTCTCATTCTGACGGCACCCATTCACTGCAGAGCATCCATTGCTGAGACACTGATGCAGTGCTGCATTTCTCCAAACCTGATGAAGAAAACTACATCCTGGATGGCCTGAGAGTGAGCACATTTTCTGCTAATTTTCAGTTTTGGGTGAACTATTCCTTTAAAAGAGTATAAATTCTGTCATCATGTGCATATGATCTTCTGGTCTTCTGTGGAACAAACGTTGACTGTATTGTCGTATGGTTTATTCTTTTAACATCTCTCTCTCTCTCTCTTCTTCAGGATGTTATCTCCATGTTGGATCAAACCAGCAGCTTCAGCAACGATGATTTCGCCGAGATGCCCATGTTTCCTCCTTTCCCCGAGTGATCCCGCTTCACTCCCTGTTGCTCTCTCACACGCCATTTCTTACTCCCTTAACCAAATCGATGGCAGAACTGAGGCACAGAGGGATATAAAACAAGAGTGAGACTGATGCATTGTGAGAATGGAAGTTATAAGCCATAATGTGAGGATACAGAGTAGTGCACAGACAGACAGGTCTTGTTGAAATGTGTTCACTTTAAAATCACGCACAATTGCACACTTCGAGCACAAGAGGTCTCACACTGTCTGCTGTACACGCACATGCTTTGATTTATGAGATGGCCACACACATACACTCGCATTCACACACACACTTGCATAACACACTCACACACACACACACACACACACTTGCATACACACACACGCGCACACTCGCGCTCTCACACACACTCACTCACACACACACACTCTCTCTCTCTCTCTCTCTCTCTCTCTCTCTCTCTCTCTCTCTCTCTCTCTCTCTCTCTCTCTCTCTCTCTCTCTCTCTCTCTCTCTCTCTCTCTCTCTCTCTCTCTCTCTCTCTCTCTCTCTCTCTCTCTCTCTCTCTCTCTCTCTCTCTCTCTCTCTCTCTCTCTCTCTCTCTCTCTCTCTCTCTCTCTCTCTCTCTCTCTCTCTCTCTCTCTCTCTCTCTCTCTCTCTCTCTCTCTCTCTCTCTCTCTCTCTCTCTCTCTCTCTCTCTCTCTCTCTCTCTCTCTCTCTCTCTCTCTCTCTCTCTCTCTCTCTCTCTCTCTCTCTCTCTCTCTCTCTCTCTCTCTCTCTCACACACACACACTCTCTCTCTCTCTCTCACACACACACACACAAAGGCAGTCTGTGTACCGATTGCACTGCTTCTGACCCGTGATGAAATGTGTGAGAACTGAATTCTTGAGTTTGGCCTCAGAGAGTTGCTGTGAATGTGTCGATCAGGTTTATTGTTGCCTGTAACGCAGAAGCTGCAGCTTGTTTTCATTTTTTTTTTATATTAAAGAATCGACTCAATTTCCATTCATAACTTGTAATTTGAATCGAATTGATTGTAATTGAATTGGCTCAACAGGATGTTGAATTTGAAAGACAGGAAGAGGAATTCCAAATTTACTGAATTGGAATTTTTCATTTGAAATAAACGTTGATTCTTGCCATTATCTAATGTAATCCATACTTCAAATGTTTTTAAAAACTACTTTGAAATTTCATTCCATTTTAAATGTTAGTAACACTTTATTTTACAGTGTCCTTGTTACACATCACATGTACTTACTGTAGTAAATCATGCATAATAACATGCAGTTAACCCTAATTATTCCTCAGTATTTAAATGCAATTACACTGTAAGAAGGACTGCTTAAAATGAAGTGTAACCTTGCTTTCTTAATCTATTCTGCCTCCTGTTTGCTAGCTCAGTTCAAAGTCAGATGTTTCATTATCTGGCTTGGGTTCATGTTGGTGCAGTAACACTCCTCGATGGACAGATGCATCTCCTCCTCTGACGTTTCACTCAGGCATGTGTTTGTGAACGCAATGAAAAAGATTCAAATCAAGCAGGATCTGTGTCCTTCAAAGCCATTTTGTCGCTATCCTAATTATCATAATGTCTTGTTTTAATGTAAAAAGAAGAATCCTTATTCTGATTTAGTCCTGTACAGAGAATATTCCCGTACTTCTGTTGGCGGGGTTGATTATTGTTAATTTTCTTTAAGCTTTTTAATCAAATGTTTGCTTTTGAATGTGGGTGTCTGCGTCTTTTTTCAGTACTTTTGTGTCACTTTTTTTTTTTCCCCCAGATATGAAAGGGTCAGTGTTTTTTTTTTATTTCTTCTATATTTTCACACAGTTTTGAACTGCAGTTTGTGTACAACATAGAAAAAATATATATGTATATGAAATATTAAAGAGAACTGTTTTGAGTTTTTTGTATTAAATTGCTATTGTCAAAAAAAAATCTTTGTTGGGATCTTTATTTGAACTGTGGACACTTTTTGACAAATCTATAAATAAGTATATCCAGTGTATGGTACATTACCGTTCAGTTAGCCATTTTATAATCCATGATAAAAGCAAAATGCAACTGAGTTTTTAAATGTACATTTTATCAAGGGTTTGGATTCAGTATTTTTTCTTGTATTCAGCAAGAATGCATTAGATTGATCAAAAGTGACAGTAAAGACATTTATAATGTCACAAGCGTAAAGACCTGTGGCTCCAAAAGGCAGAAACAAAGGAAGAGACTAAAGAGCTAGAGAAGCCAGGTGTAGGCCGATGTGATGAAATCACTCAGTTGTCCCACACACACACACACACAAAAAGATACTACATTTTTTGCAAACAATTTATTTTAGCTACATTAAAATAAAAAAATGTTGAAAGTTAGTCAACTAAATTTGTTTATTTAAATGTAGCTAAAATGAATTGATTGCAACAACTTAACCTTAAAAAAAATCTAGTAAATTCAATGAATAATTTTTATATTTTTCAGTGCAATGCTGATTCACCCTTAAAACGAAAGCTTCTTTATCGGCACCGATGGTTCCAGGAAGAACCTTAGACATCTATGTAAGCTTTCCGTTCCGTTCTTCAAAATGGAAAAAGAAATGTTCTTCACACAAAGAAAAAAAATGGTTCTGTTAAGATTCTAGTTTCTTTGGGGAACCAAAAATTGAACCTTTTTAAATTTTTTAAGAGCGTAGTTCATGGGTCAGTCCTTGTAGGTTTTCAGGTTCCAGCTCCATCACCATCTGAGCTTCATCAATCTGTGATCCATCGCACTGAGATCTGTCAGGGCTTTATCATTCTCAGCTGGTAACACATGAAGTGGCCTCTAGTGTTTCTCAAGCAGCCTAAAAGGGGGGTTTTAAGCCATATAAGGCCTGATTGTTACCAAACTCCTGTTTAACTATTCATCGTGGACACAGGTGCCAAGTGTTGGTGTGTATGTCTCTCAGGCCAAAGGAAGACATGCTAATACCCGAGATAAGAGCACATGTATCCCTGACCGATGACTGCAGGCTGAGCCAGCGCCAGGATCAAGGTATCTCTTCCAAACGTCTTCATTTTGCATCGGCTGAGAATGAAAATTCGAGGGCAGAATCAATTGCGAGCAGTTCAGCAGCTCAGTTTAGTTGCAAATGCACATTATGAGTCTCAAACCGATGAAGAGCGGAGCTTCACGTGAGTGCTGGAATGTGAGACTCGTCTGATACAGAGCTGTTTTACACCGACAGAAGCACAACACCGGCGACTAGGGTTGCTGTTTGACAAGAACAACTGGGGATTTAAGGGAAGAAGTGACGTTTGGACAATGCCATGAGCAAATCCAGCTCATATCTTGGACGTTTACCACTGTATATCATGCGTCTGTCACTCACTAATAGAGTTGATTCCTCCACTCTTCAGTAATCATGGACCAGCCTCTTCCAATGTCTCAAGTGGACGTTGATGTGGATTTGGGCTTCGCTCTCTTCTTCTTGGTCCTGCTGTGTTTGTTTCTGTTGGTTACAATGGTTCGCTGTGCTCAGATGGTTCTGGATCCGTACAGCGCCATCTCTGTGTCCACCTATCAGGAGGAGCAAGAGCAAGAGGAGGGGTGAAGGTTAAAGCAGGCGGACCACTGGAGAACCATTGGATTGTAGAAGAACTTTAAAACAGATGCTTCTGGAAGTACTCCGAGAACACACGTGGAAACGCATCTACACTTTCTCTAACCCTCATTGTGTGGAGACTCTTGGATTTCATTGGAACTCATCCGGGAAAAGGGATCTGAGTGTCATTATGAGCTCTCATTACCACCGGGAGTCATCGAGTGCAAATAAATCAGCAAAACTGCGTGTGGATGTGAGAAATCTGATGCAGCTGGATGAGAGTGTCCTGCAGAGGGGAGCAACAGAATAAATGTTGTCTCACTGAATATTCAGGCTTCTATTTTTGGTTCAGTGAGTCTTAACTGTATTAACTATAGTGCAGTGAAACTAAAAACCACAGGAAGGATGCAGTTACACTTTTACAGCTGATCACATGGCAATGTTCAAAATGTGAGCTTTATGCAATGCCATGATATAGTTTGATTCTGAACATCTGAAATGCTTTGAATAGGGTTTGAATGTGTTCTTTTTTTTTTATTTTATATATCTACATTACATTTATGCATTTGGCAGACACTTCAAAGCGACTTACAAAAGAGATTTTAATTAGTTGGTTGTGCATGCATTCATTTATGCATGCTGATTAACAGTTAAATAATAAATTGTGGTTTTATTCTAAAAAACAGTATGTTGGTGTTTTTTCTTTTTTCTTTTGGAGATATATACGTTTTTTTCTTTAATACAAATTAAAATACAGGCATTAAATATGGTCAATGGTTGACTGGACACTTTGCAAACTATTGCATACATTGCTAGTTGTTAGTATGCACACACACACACACACACACACACACACACACACACACACACACAGACACACACACAGACACACACACACACACACACACACACACAGACACAGACACACACACAGACACAGATACACACAGACAAAGTCACAGACACACACACACGCACACACACACACACAGAGAGACAAAGTCACAGACACAGACACACACACACACACACACACACAGACACACACACAGTCACACAGACACAAAGACACACACAGACACACACACAGACACAGACACACACACAGAGACACAGACACACACACACACAAAGACACAGATACACACAGACACAGATACACGCACACACACACACACACACACACACACACACACACACACACACACACAAAACACAACCCACACCAAC